CTACGGCTGCTGTCAGGGCCCAAAGGCATGAGAGCTAAGGCAAAGTTGGTCAAGTCAGTTCCGTTAGCGGTTGATGAACATTTACCAACACTTTTCACCATCGTTCGATATCTTATAGAGGGGAATCCTTTAATGAAAGAGGTTCCACTTTTAATCATCCGCTTTTTGTGGTATTTGTGTGGTTTTCCGTCTGCCGTTCCTCAAGCCAGGTGACAAATTACTTGCAAGGTCTATCATCCCAGTTCCCACAACGCTTCTATCGAACCTCTGTCGTCTAGCTCATCTCGTGCTAGAAAGCAGCTCTATTTTGTGAAGAACATGCAATTTATTCTTTTTCTTCTATTCCAGAGGCCTACCTGAGTTCCCTGGTAATGATAACCGAGACGGATGCCGAATACGAGGCCGACGACTACTGGCCTGATAAGGCCCAAGAAGACACAGGTTTCACGTGTCTCTTCGAGGACAGCACGTGAGTGCTTTTCCTGCTTTTCACTTGTAGTTTAAGCTACTCATTCGTCAACAGTAGTGTGTTAACTGTGATTCGCATTTAGAAAGGCTTGCGTCTACAAAGCTGGAGCCAAAAAACCGTACGCGAACAGAACTTCGATATTTTGGACAATGTTCCGTCTTGCCGGTTTAGATCGGCAGATATTTAGGTTTTTACAGATCGGTTAAAAGGCCCACTGATCTCATTGTGCCTTGGGGCTGACCCTCAAGTCCAATCCGCAGTCGCACAGGAACTAGCAGCATAGGTGGGAAAGACCGAGAAACTGAGCGTTCATCACCAAGTGTCGATTTCCCCGATCGAAACCAACAAGGCGACGAGCCTAGGGCGCAGTGGTTAGAGCTGCAGTCTTCTAACTAACGGGGACACAAGCTCGAGCCTAGGGTGGCGCAACACCTGGTGTTGGGTATGGTTGGCTGATGACCGCTTATAAGCCAGAAATGGCCATTCTTATCTCCCTGGTCTTTGTCGGTAATGCTCTCCAGCCTAAACTACTAGTCGCTATGCGGCTGCTGGCGGTGCTGGAGAGGAAACCCCAAGGCAGAACGAGGCCAGTGAGTTCCGTGACTGATCTATAAGCGCCTATGCAAGAAGGTACTAAGTAAGTCTGAAATAACCATTCATAACTCTTTTTT